TTTTGTTTTTTTGAATGTCCAGAGGACCAGATTGAACTTTTTTGGATTTTTCTACCTGGATTATTGAGCATGCATCAGGAAAAGTAATTAATGATTTATAAAGTGTTTATAGAGGAATTAATAACACATCTATAAACTATAACCATCTATAAGGGGAGCCTTATTGCAAAGTGGTACCAATATGAGAATAAACTTTGGTGTGGTACTAGCTGAGAGTCATCATCAACACTGAAAGCCAACAGATCACTCAAGATTGTTGTTTTAAACATTGGCATAATGCATTCTTTAAAGAAATTGTATTTTTTTACATAAATATTATAAATTAAAAATAAATATACTTTGATTTTTTTTCTATTTCAGCACTTCACATTGAAATTAACTGCACATTTTCCTCTATAATTTATTTTCAGTGCATCATTCAAGGATACCCTGCTGAATGATATCAGGAAAGCCAGAGAGAAGTACCAGGGAGAGGAACTGGCCAAGGAGCTTGCACGAATCAAGCTCCGCATGGACAACACAGAGGTCCTAACTCAGGATATCGTCATGAACTTGTTGTTTTCCTACAGAGACATACAGGTACAACCATATATAGCCTTTAGTTGGGAACAAGATGAACCAAGTTCAATTTCAAATAAGCATTCCCTGTTTTTACCTTGCCATCAGGACTATGATGCCATGGTGAAGCTGGTGCAAACACTAGAGACGCTGCCAACATGTGATCTGGCCACCCAGCCTATGATCCAGTTCCACTTTGCTTTTGCCCTCAACAGGTACACATGATTCAAAGTATTTTTTTGCACTTAACCTAACAATCCAAATAATTAAAGTGAATATGGAATCACAAACATGGGCTCAGTGAGAGTCCGAAATTGCAATTTCATTTTTAAAGTTCAGAAAACTGTCTGTTGCATATATATTTCAAGTTATTTGAAATTATATTTGCCAATTTTTTAATACACTATAAAAAATACCTGTAGCTAACAAGCTAACACAGCAAAAATATATGGGTAGACAAAATTATTTGATTAACTGGGAAATTTTAAAACTTTTTTTCTTGTTTGTAACATCTTATGTGTGCTATTCAAGGTTCTTTATTGTCATTCACATCACGTGGTACATGAGGTGGAATGAAATTATGAACTCGAGGTTCCAGTTACATCCAAAAATAGCAACAATATACAGTATAAAAAGAAATATTAACTAATGATCTAAGATATACACTAAGATATATGCTAAATATTGTAAAATAATATGGTATATAAAACAGCAGCCTGAACATGAGTCTTTAGTGAGCAGATGGGTATGAATGAATAAAGAAGTATTTTTAAGACATTTTTATTAAGACAACAAGAAAGTATTCTGTGTTTCAATGTCCTAATCCAGATTTATTGATCAGCTTTTTTGAATTATGCATGTTAATATGTGCAGGAGGAACAGTCCTGGAGATCGTGAGCAGGCTCTCAGAGTGATGCTGCAGGTGCTGCAGTCCTGCGAACACCCCGCACCGGACATGTTCTGTCTCTGCGGACGAATCTATAAGGACATATTTCTTGACTCTGACTGCAAAGACACTATAAACAGAGACAAGGCTCTACAGTGGTGAGAATCCAGGAAAGCAGATGTGTGATCATTAATTTCTGGCAGTTTATGTATCTATTGTTTCACACACACAGGTACAGGAAGGGGTTTGAGCTGCAACCAACTCTCTATTCTGGCATCAACCTCGCTGTCCTCCTCATAGTAGCTGGCCAGCAGTTTGAGAGCTCCATGGAACTGAGAAAAATAGGTGACCACCCTTTTTTCATCAAATTAAAACTTTACTCTTAACTAACAACCCAGAGCCTCTGATGTGTGCACTTTCAAAAGCCAAAGATAAATCTCCATTTCATGGAATGCTATGGACAATAAAGTTAAATTGATTGATTGATTGAATGTAATTTACTTTGTTTCATTCATGCTAACGTCAGTGAAAGGATTTTCATGGATGATTACTTATTTTTTGAATATTCATGAACCGTTCTCACTATTGTGATCCATTTTTCTTCCATACGTTTTTAGCGTGAGTCTCATCCCACAGTTTTCAAGCTACTTCAACAAATCATAAATCAAAACATTCAGCTCTTTCAGGAGAAGGGTGCTATGACTTTTGGTGTTGGTGCAACTTTAGCTTTTTGAACTATTTAGCTTTTCTAACTTTTTTTTTCTATTTATTGTGCGAGGGGCTGGGTACACCCTGGATAGGTCACAAGTTCATCACAGTTTAGCTGTTTTTATGATACTTCAAGCTTTTTCAACTAATTCTTCATTTTTGGCACTCATTTAAACTTTTTTCAGAATAATTCTGCAAAAATGTGCTCTCTCCACTTTCTTGTGGTAATTTATGCAGCTTTAAGCCTTTTTAGCTACTTTGCTAATTTCAGCCTTTTTTTTTTTTAGATGATTTCCACTTTTTTGTTCTCATTTATGCTTCCTTCAACCTAATTGGGCAAACGTGTTCTTTCTGCTTTCTTCTTCTAGTTTAAGCTTGCGCTACCTTTTCAGCTAGCTTTTTTTTGTAGCTAATTTCAGCTGTTTTCAGTTAAATTCAAGTTTATCATGGAAATCTCTGCTACGTTTTTTAGCTAATTTCAGCTGTTTTCAGTTAAATTCAAGTTTTTCATGGAAATCTCTGCTACGTTCAGTCTAATTAACTTCTTTATGCTCATTTCAGCTTGTTATGCTCCTTTCAGCTTTTTTCTATTAGTTTCAGCTTTTTCTGCTATTTCAGCTACTCTTTAGCTGTTTTATCCTAAATTTAGCTTTTTAAGCTAATTCCACATTTTTAAGCTCATTTTAGCTCTTTCCACTTCCTTCTGGTAGTTTAAGCTTATTTCTGCAGTTTCAGCTACTTTTTACCAATATTTGCTAATTTCTTTATTTTTGTGCTAACTTCTGCTGATTTAAACCAAATTAAGCATATATGTTTTTTTCTGCCTTCTTCTGCTAACTTAGGCTTGTTCTTCCATTTTAGCTACATTTCAGCATCTTTTTTATAGCTAATTTCAGCTGTTTTTCAGCAAGTTCTTCTGCAATAAGCATGCACACTGCATTTTCACATGAAATGCTATTTTTCTAATTGTATACTATGTTTTGGTCAATGTTAAGACAGTAATTGGTCAGGCAGTTTTTAAATATCAGTAATGTTATTTCTGTAGGTGTGAGGTTGAACAGTCTGCTGGGGCGCAAAGGTTCCCTGGAGAAAATGAACAACTACTGGGATGTGGGCCAGTTCTTTACCGTTAGCATGCTTGCTAGCGATATCCCTAAAGCAACTCAAGCGGCTGAGAAGCTCTTTAAACTGAATCCACCGCTGTGGTAAAGTTCTTTAAATACACTCTATATTTGATAAATGTTTATTTGCTGAATATTCTTTTAATCTTTATAAATATTATCGGTCATAAGCGTGGCTAGGAAGCTAGTTGAATAAAAGGGTAATAAAATACAAAATCCTGAGATCCATAATGTAACTGATAAATTGTGTGGAGTGGCGGTGCAGAGGCTAGAGAAGATGGGCCTGTGATTGGAAGGTTGCTGGTTTCGACTCCCCATACCAACAACATAAAAAATGTGGGTGGGGAAGGTGAAACACCTACATCCATAGACACCTGTCTCCACCCTCATTTGTACCATTTTTGGCCCTTGAGCAAGGCCCTCAACCCCCCCATCTGCTCCCCCGGGTGCCCTAGATGTCAGCTCTCTGCTCCACACAGAGGGCTGTGGCTTGGTGGTCTGTGGTTGCATCAGGAAGGACATCCAGCATAAAAACAATTGCCAAGTGTTTGTGCGAGTTAGTTCACTGTGGTGACCACTGAAGAAGGGAGCAGCCAAAAGAAGAAAAAAAAATGTAACTGATAAATTGTAATATAAATATTTACCAGTAATACCCACATATTCTATTTTTTTTAATAAAATTCCAGATTTAGTTGTAATACATGGCATTGCCTATACAATAGATCAAACTTTAACATTGTGTCAGTATTAATGGTACCATTTTAGTGTTGCTTTTCACCAAACCGTGGCAATATCCCTTTAAAATAATAACTGCTAGAAAAATATATAAATTTATGAAGAGTTAAAGTTTAGATTTAGGATTTTTTTTTAAATCATTGATTCAAGGTTTATTTGTATATGTGAATGCAGTACTGCAGTATGCCTCAAATATTTCTCTAAAATGTATTTTTATAGTTTACATTTGTACATTGCTCCTATCTGTTAAACAATTTTGTGAAATGGTGTACACAATGACCTCAGTAATTTTGATTTACGTAATGGGTACCTTCTTTTAGGTATTTGCGGTCAGTGGTGCAGAACCTGCAGCTCATCCAGAGGTTTAAAAAGCAGGCGGTGGAACATTCTCCCCAACGAGAGAGACTCGACTTCTGGATGGACATCATTGTTGAGGCCACACAAGGCACCACAAACAGACTCCGGTTCCCTGTACATAAAAAATAAAATCACATTTATGCTTGTCCCAAACTGCAGCAACAGATGTTCAGAAACTATTCAAATGCTATCCAACATTTTTCAGTCAGGTCCTCTGGCCAGTTTCTTTTTTTTTTTTTTTTTGTGCTGAAACATTTCACATTCGGTCCAGAAGGCTTCTTCAGTCAAGGAAACACACAACAAAACTGATTCTTCACCCAACAGCTTACTCCAAAGTGGAACAAACCAGTTCTGCTTGTGATAAGATGGTCTCTTT